AGTGATACAAATGTCAACAATTCTTCCAAATAAGGATAATTATTTCCTCCCCCACTGACATGTTACTCCTTGAATTTTAAGCTTTAATAAGACCTCTTTAGTTGGACTGCTAAAGACTTACTTCTGCATTCCTGTAAACCTTGCAAGGCAGCTATTAGGTATCTCATCCTGGTGTACCCTAATTCAGCTTCCCTTTTGGCACTCTTTTTGTGTTGAAACTTTTAGTTATGTGACGTTGGGATCTTACTTGGTACTTTATTTATAAAAAGCTTGAGAATAAATCTATTCTCAATTAATGCCTAGAGTTTCTATTGAAGAAAAAGAAGGCTTACACACATAAGAAAAATGGATGTATACATAGGAATGACCAAGGAAATCAATTCACTTCAAAGACAAATTTATTCTATGAAATTGTGAAGAAACTAGGAAGAGGATATAATGACTGATTAACAAGGATATTTGACAAATATGATGAATGTGCTGAGACTGGGCAAAGCATGATTCTGCCACCTATACAGCAATATTTTCCAAAGACACTTCGGCAAGAAAACCATTAGAATTCTAAATCTGCATCACAAATGCACTAAAAGTATCTCCCCAACAACTCAAAATAAAGTTATCTATAATTGTTTATATGTCCATGTTGGAAATTCAAAGAAACCAAAAAATTCTTCCACCAAATCAACTATGCACAAGATTTTTTCTCTCCGTCTCTCTCTTTCAATATCTTTCTCTCTTTCTGTGTGTGTGTGTGTGTTTGTGTGTGTGTGTGTGTGTGTGCGTGTTTTAATGAGCATATTTTCTTGAGTCCAGTTTCTCTAAATCACACCACCATATTACACATCCAAAGAAATTTTAACTGGAACCCTCCAAGGCACATCTATTGTATTTTGTATTGAAGGTATATAGTGTAGGATAGTAAAGTTCTTCCCATTACACACTGCACTTTAAACTAAAAAAATATTGATACTGTTCTTAGTCCTTACTAGTATCATCTTCATTTTTGTGTTTTGTATGTGTGAGGGTGTCTGTGGAGTTTGCAGTTCTGATTTGCTTTCCTGATGAAAAATGGACAAAACTATTTTTTTTATTTCCAACTTTTAAGTGTAGGGGTACATGTGCAGGTGTGTTACATAGGTAAACGTGAGCCATAGTGGTTTGCTGCACTTCCCACTACCCAGGTATTAAGCTGAGAATCCATTAGCTCTTCTTTCTGATCCTCTCCCTCCTCCAACACCACATCTTCCAACAGGCCCCAGTGTGTGTTTTCCTCCCACAATGTGTCCATATGTTCTCATTATTTAGTTCCCACTTATAAATGAGAATATGCCGTGTTTGTTTTTCTGTTCCTGCATTAGTTTGTTAAGGATAATGGCTTCCATCTCCATTCATGTCCCTGCAAAGGTCATGATCTTGTTCCTTTTTATGGCTGAATAGTATCTCATGGTATATGTACCACTATTTTCTTTATCCAGTCTATCGTTGATGGGCATTTGGGTAGATTCCATGTCTTTGCTATTGCCAATAGTGCTGCAATAAACATATGCATGCATGTATCATTATAGCAGAATGATTTATATTCCTTTGGGAATATACCCAGTAATGGGATTGCTGGGTCAAATAGTATTTCTGCCTCTAGGTCTTTGAGGAATCATCACAGTGTCTTCCACAATGGTTGAACTAATTTATACTCCCATCAACAGTGTGAAAGGGTTCCTTTTCCTCCACAACCTCACCAGTATCTGTTGTTTCTTAACTTTTTAATGATAGCCATTCTGATTGGCATAAGATGGGATCTCATTGTGGTTTTGATTTGTATTTCTCTAATGATCAGTGATGTTGAGCTTTTTTTCAAATATTTGTTGGCTACATGTATGTCTTCTTTTGAGAAGTGTCTGTTCATGTCATTTGCCCAATTTTTAATGGGATTGTTTGTTTTTTTCTTGTAAATTTGTATAAGTTCCTTGTAGACTCTGGATGTTAGATGTTTTTCAGATAAAAATATTGAAAAAAGTTTCTCTGATTCCGTAGGTTGTCTGTTCACTCTGATGATAGTTTCTTTTACTTTGCAGAGTTTTAGTTAAATTAGATCCCATTTGTCAATTTTTGCTTTGTTGCACTTGATTTTAGCATTTTCATCATGAAATATTTGCCTATGCCTATGTCCTGAATGGCATTGCCTAAGTTTTCTTCTAGGGTTTTTATAGTTTTAGGTTTTGCATTTAAGTCTTTAATCCATCTGGAGATGATTTTGTATATGGTGTAAGGAAGGAGCCCAGTTTAAGTTTTCTGCATATGACTAGCCAGTTCTCCCAGCACCATTTATTAAATAGGGAATGCTTTTCACCATTACTTGTTCTTGTCACATTCGTCAAATATCAAATGACTGTAGGAATGTAGTCTTATTTCTAGGTTCTCTATTCTGTTCCATTGGTCAATGTGTCTGCAGAACCATTTCTAAGAGACAAATTGAGGTCCCGTGCTTTTGCAGTGACTGCAGAGATTCTGGAACTCACTTTTGCCAATAAATAATGAAGTAGGTTTGCATGTTGATGCTATTTTAAATAATGCATTGTTCTATTAATCTCTTACCTCTATCAGCCCCTATCTTATTTTTACTGGTTAGAGAAATTTTTATTACAAAAACAAACAGAGAAATACAGGAAAAGCAAGTTTTACATCCATGCTTTTTAAAAGCAAATACAACACCCTAAGTAGAATATTAACTAAATAAAACCAACAGTAAATGTGTAACTATAGGATTAACAAATAGGGTTTATCCCAGGAATGCAAAGATGTTTCACATTTTAAAAATTCTCATTATAATTCACTACACTAGGAGATTAAGAAGGAAAATACATACAATGAAATAAGTCAATTCTGGTAAACTATTTTTTTTTTCTTTTTAGCCCCTGTCTGACTCACCTTTGCATCCTTGGCAGTGCTTAGACAGTTGCCTGTTACACAGAGGAGACTCAATATAATTTTTTAATTGAATTGAACCCATTAGTCATTAGCAATTGTTTGTCTCTGGGAAGAAACAAGGAGAAAAATAAGTGGAAAAATAAGGGGAGACTATTCTGCTTATGCTATTTCATTATTTTAATTCACCAATCAACAAATCTCCACTGAGCTTTTTTTATATGCCCGACTCTCTGCTATGCAGAACATTCAGAAATATGAAGGATACTCTCTACCCTAAAGATGTTTAAAATCTTCTACAATAGAATAATTATTTGTTCAGTCTACATAGAATGGCATTAGTTTTACACTCCTTATTTAATTTGATGCCATAAAACCTCTGTCTTCATCTGGGTAGAGTTCTCAGCTCCTATTGACAGATGAAGAAACTGAGATTCTAAGGGTTTAAGACTTGCCCAGTCACACAACTGGGAGGTAGCTTGGGCCAGAACGTAGGTATCTTAATTCTAGGTTTAGTTTTCTATCCACCACACCATGCTGCCTCAGTATATAACTGAGGTGTCCCTCGCCTTTCACTACCAGTATCATATATTATCAGTAACAGTCTGAAAACGTGACCTTATAGTGCTTGCCATTTGAGGACTCCATCTCACTAAGGTATTTCATGTAAACCAATGCCAATGCCACGAAATATTCCAAAGCAGAGCATGAATTTGTAAGAGAGATCCCATATATAGTCATGAAGACACTCTATTTTTAATTACAACGTAGCTACACATAGCCCCAGTGGTCAAGACAATGTTCCTTGTTTTGAGTAAATGGAAACAACTTCAGCCTTGCTGGAGTAATGAAGAATATAACCAATTATATCTTAGAATGAGGACCCAGTTAGTGTTCCTTATCTCTGTCTTAACCTTTGAGATAGTCTAGAGTAACTGTTATAAGCACAAACTTTGGGGTCTTTCTCAGAAGTTTCTCAGCAGACTTTCCTTGGTATCTTGTTGGCCCATATGTTCATTCTTAAATCAATTATTGGCAAAAGAAATGGAACTCCCATGATTGGCTTAGCCTATTCAAAGGTCATTCTTAGGTCTGAGGAAATACTAGGTTTTGTGGGGTAAACAAAATCGGGTTTCTTGTAACTAGGAAGAAGAAAGGGAATAACTATATGGGAGGCAACTAAGAATCCACCTATGGTTCTTGGCTTCAAGAGGAAAAGGAGAAAGGAAAAGGAGAGAAGAACAAAGAAGCAGAAAGTGGCAGGGAGCAGTAGCTCACACCTGTAATCACACTTTGGGAGCGCGAGGCGGGTGGATCACCTGAGGTAAGGAGTTCAAGACCAGCCTGGCCAACATGGTGAAACCCTGTCTCTACTAAAAATACAAAAATTAGCCAAGTGTGGTGGCAGGCACCTGTAATCCCAGTTACTTGGGAGGCTGACACAGGAAAATCACTTGAACCCAGGAGGCGGAGGCTGTGGTGAGCAGAGATTGTGCCACTGCACTCCAGCCTGGGTGACAGAGCAAGACCTTGTCTACAAAAGAAAAAAAAAAAGAAAGAGAAGGAAAAGAAAAAATTATAGAAACATTATCTCTAATGAAATTATATGAAGTCATGTGAGTAAATCATTGTGACTTTGGGACTTTTATTTATTTATTTATTTGAGATGGAGTCTTGCTCTGTCGCTCAGGCTGGAGTACAGTGGCATCAACTCAGCTCACTGCAACCTCTGCCTGCTGGGTTCAAGGGATTCTCCTGCCTCAGCCTCCCAAGTAGCTGAGATTACAGGTGAGTGCCATCATGCCGGGGTAATTTTTGTATTTTTAGTAGAGACGGGTTTCACCATGTTGGTCAGGCTGGTCTTGAACTTCTGACCTTGTGATCTGCCCATCTCGGCCTCCCCAAGTGCTGGGATTACAGGCGTGAGCCACTGCACCTGGCCAACTTTGGAACATTTTAAGCAGAGAAACTATCCAGATATTATTATTTTAGGCTTCAGTTTTAGATCTTTACATTTTGTGTATGAGTCACTTTCATTATAATAACGCTTGTTTTAAATAATATAAAATACCTTTGGCTCTTCAATCCATGGTCTTTTGGCACTTCCTTGCTTACAAGTACTGCTACAAGAAATACAGATTCAGATGGATGAATGAAGAAATACAGTTGTTTTGGTTTCAGGAAAAAAAAACTATTTTAGATGTATAGTTGACAAAGTGACAAATTACCAAGTTTTTCAACAAGGTTAGTGATACGAATCTTCAATGTAACTACAACTCTGTAGCAGTTCATTTTTTAAAGTATTGTTTTCTTAATTTTTAGAGTCACAAATTGACTATTATATTTAATAGACAAAATTATCTAAAATCAAGATTTATATTTTAAGTATTAGAAGCAAATTATTCTTTTATGCTTTTATTGCTTTTATTGTTAAATTGACATATAATAATTGTACATATTTATGGGGTTTGGGGTAATATTTTAATATTTTATACAATGTATAATGATCATACCAAGGAAATTAACATATTTATCACCTGAAATATTTACCTTGTGTGTGTTGGGAGTATTGAAAAGTCACTCTTCTAGCTATTTGAAAATACACATTAAATTGTTCATGTAGCACCCTATAGTACTATAAAACACTAGAGCATATCCTTTCTCTCTAGCTGTACTTTAGTATCCATTTACCAACATTTGGTTACCTCTCCTTAAATTGTTTTGTAAAAGTCTTTTAACAACAAGAAACTTTGGTCAAAGTTTTTCTCCGTTTTGTTTTGTTTTGTTTTTTCCCTTGGAAGAAGATATACTTTACTAATCTCAGCCAAAAATTTTTTTTAAATGCTCAATTTAGCTTTAAATTCAGAAACTATGAAGAGTGCTTCTTTTGCTTTCTTTTTTCTCTCTCTCTCTCTCTCTTTTTTTTTTTTTTCCAGACGGAGTTTCGCTCTAATTGCCCAGGCTGGAGTGCAATGGCGTGATCTCGGCTCATGGCAACCTCTGCCTCATACATCCAAGCAATTCTCCTGCCTCAGCCTCCCAAGTAGCTGGGATTACAGGCATTTTGTATTTTTAGTAGAGACGGGGTTTCCTCATGTTGGTCAGGCTGGTCTCCAACTCCCAACCTCAGGTGATCCACCAGCCTTGGACTCCCAAAGTGTTGGGATTACAGGCTGAGCCACCGCTCCCGGCCAAGAGTGTTTCTTAAAGTAGCAACATTTTAACTATCTGCAGATAACACTGGTAACAGCTTCTGCTTCTGTTTAATTTCATAACCCGGGAAAGAAAAGTTTGCTCTTGCTCATGGCTCAAATTCATCACCTTAACGTGGAATCTTCTCCCTTACCTCTAAGAGGAGTAAAGTGGAGGAAACACAGGTTGAGTAACAAGTAATAAGGTGGGGACCAAGCTCCTAGGGATTCAGAATGCTTTCTCTAAAGCAGATTATCCAGCCTGGCATAAAAGCATTTTTCCTCAAAATGGGAGTTGTCAAAGCTGAAACAATCTCTTTAAGTAGAGATTTAATATATTAATATTGAGTTAGAATCTTTGTACAAGTTCATAAATTTAGAAGCACATGGTTAGGGCCTGCTAGTAGAAGCCAAGACCATATACAGAGTGCAGTTTAAAAGGCTCTTTCTGTAAGCAAATAGGATCCTTTCACTATGAATTTTATGGCTTTTCACAGGCTGATACTCAACTAGTAACCAGAGTAAGAACTGTTGTTACCTGATGAGTGATAGATTACTATTGTGATATCTATTAATCAAATAAAGAGTACCTTATATTTTTTCTTGTAGTATTTTCAGAATTTTCTCTTAGATGGGCCAACTTGCTGGGGCAGGACAATGGATTTAGGAAGACTCCACAGTAGACCGGGAAAGTTAGGACATGTAAGCAAAATATCTGAGGGGTAAAGCAGTAGGAGTCAGACGTCAGCATTGGAGAGGCCCAGGAGCAGTTCCTGAAGACTAGCTTCTTGTATAACTTACATTGTTCAATCTGTATTTCAGCTGGGTTATTGAATAATGGGCCTTCGCCCCTTAGTCTTTGTATGCTGCATTTTCTATTATGTCAAATGTCAATATTCCAAAATCTGAAGAACTAGAGTATCTATAAGGAAAGGCAAATGAGACAGGGATCCAATTCTAGGATGTAAGGAATTATAAGAACTGACCTTTTTGATCAGAATAGACCTGACAATGAGCCTGATGATGCTGTTTTACCAGATTTGGGCTACTATATTGATCTAAAAAACTTCAGAATAAATGAATAGAACTTCCTCTTTTTTTTCAGGCTAAGCTAATAAAATAGAATATTATTTAATAGACCGACCAAGGAATTAAGGAGCTTTTCCTTTCATTAAGTTTTTTCCCTTAAAACATCTTAGCCCCAAAAGGAGGAGCCAAAATGGCCTATTGGAAGCAATTGCAGTCCCTGGCACTCACAGTGAGGAATGAAAGGAGCGAGTGAATTCAGCACCTTCAACTGAGATACCTGGGTTGTCACATTGGGATTAACTAGGCAAACAACTGGACTCATGAAGAGTGAAGAGAAGCAGGGTGGGGCGATGGCCCAACCAGGAATGGCATGGAGCCAAGGGAACTCCCACCCCCAGCCAAGGGAAGTGGTAAGTGATTGTGTGACCCCACCCAGGAAACCACACTTCTCCCACAGGTCTTTGCAACTCGAGGATCATCCTCTTGTGAGCCCAAGCCACCCGGGCCTTGGGTCCAATACACAGAGCTGTGTGGAGTCTCAGCAGAGTGGTCCCCCAGGCACACACAGAGTTTTCCATATTCTAGCCTCAGGATGCTCGGCAAAGTGAGAGATTCTTCCATGCATGTCCCTAAGAAGGGGGCTGAGTCTGGGGAGCCAAGTGATACTGTTCTGTGAGTCCCAATTCCACAGTGCCTTGCAGATTGAGAACCACTATCTTGGAGTTTCAGCTGGACAGTGGCAGCAGGCTAGAGTCTGCCTGAGTCAGGACAGAGTTTCTTGGGGGAGAGGCAGCCATCATCTCTGTAGTTCAGTAGACTTAGTTCTTTCAGCCTGCAGATTTTGAAGAATACAGGTGATACTGACAAGGAGGGGCCCCCACAGCACAGCACAGCTGCCTTGCCAGATCATGGCCAAACTACTTCTTTAAGAGGTCATACCCCAATACATTTCTCCTCACTGGGCAAGGCCTCCCTGTGAGTGCTTCAGCCACTCCAGCAAAGGTTCTACAGACAGAGCTCTGATCTCTCCCAGGGATGAAGCTACTTGGAGGAGGGGCAGCCACATCTCAGTGGTTTGGTAGACTCAGCCATTCCACCCTAGTGGCTTTGGAGAATACACACAGTCCAGACATGGCAAGGTCCTGCCCAGTGAAGTGAACTTGCTCTTCCAAAGGACAGTCAGACTGCTTCTTTGTGCAGGTCCTTGATTCCATTTCTCATGACTAGGTGAGACTTCGCAGAAGGGGTCTTCAGCCACATCCTACAGGTGCGTTTGGGCTGTCCACAAGTCAGTGCGCCCCCGGGACGGAATTGCCAGAGGAAGGACAAGTCTGCTGCCTTTGCTGTTTCATAGCCTTCACTGGTGATAACTCCAGATATGGGAAAAAGGAAGGCAACTAGGGTCTGAAGCAGATCCCCAGCAAACTGCAGCCGCCCTACAGAAGAGTGGCCTGGCTGATTAAAAATGAACAACAACAAAAGCAAAAAGCCAGAAAGGAGCAACAACATCAAGATCAACAACAACAACAAAAAACCCTCAAAAAAAATTCAAAGGTCAGCAACCTCAAAGATCGCAAGTAGATAAGCCCAAAAAGATGAGAAAAAAAATCAACACAAGAATGCTGAAAACTCAAGAAGCCAGAGTGCCTCTTCTTTTCCAAATGACCACAACACCTCTTCAGCAAGGGTGCAGAATTTGGCTGAGGAAGCGATGGTTGAGTTGACATAATTACACTTCAGAATGTGGGTAATAACAAACTTCGCTAAGCTAAAGGTGCATATTGTAACCCAATGCAAAGGAGCTAAGGCTCATAATAGAAAAAAATATAGGCGCTAGTAGCCAGATAGTCAATTTATAGGGGAACATGAAGGACCTGATGGAGCTAAAAAACACATAACAAGAATGTCACAATGCAATCACAAGTATCAATAGCAGAATAGACCAAGAGGAGGAAAGAATCAAAGAACTGGAAAACTATCTTTCTGAAGTATGACAGATAGACAAGAATGAAGAAGAAAGAATGAAAAGGAATGAACAGAACCTCTGAGAACCATGGGATTATGTAAAGAGACTGAACCTATTCTTGATTGGGGTACCTGAAAGAGACAGTGAGAATGGAACCAAGTTGGAAAACATACTTCAGGATATCATAGAGGAGAAGTCCCCCAACCTAGCAAGACAGGCCAACACTCAAATTCAGGAAATTCAGAGAACCCCAGTAAGATACTCCACCAGAAGATCAATCCCAAGACACATAAGGATCACATTCTCCAGGGTCCAAATTAAATAAAAAATGGTAAGCGCAGCCAAAGAGAAAGGCCAGGTCACCTACAAAGGAAAGCCCATCAGACTAACAGCAGACCTCTCAATGGAAACCCTGCAAGGCAGAAGAATGGCAGTCAGTATTTAGTATTCTTAAAGAAAAAAATTTCTAACCCAGAATTTCATGTCCAGCCAAACTAAGCTTCATAAGCAAAGGAGAAATAAAATCCTTTTCAGATAAGCAAATACCAATGGAATTTGTCACCACAAGGCCTGCCTTGCAAGAGCTCCTGAAGGAAGCACTAAATATGGAAAGGAAAAACATTACCAGCCACTACAAAAACACGCTGAAGTACACAGACTGGTGATACTATGAAGCAACCACATAAAGAAGTTTGCAAAATAACCAGCTAGCATCATGATGATAGGATCAAATTCATACCTAACAATACTAACCTTAAATGTAAATGGGCTAAATGTTCCAATTAAAAGACACAGAATGGCAAGCTAGATAAAGAGACAAGACTCATAGGTATTGTATTTTCAAGGGACTGGTCTCACTTGCAAAGACACACATAAGCTCAAAATAAAGGAATGGAAGAAACTTTACCAAGAAAATGGAAAACACCCAAAAAGCAGGGATTGAAATTCTAGTTTCTGACAAAACAGAATTTAAACCAAGAAAGATTAAAATTAAAAAAAAAAAGGCAAAGGCATTACATAATGTTAAAACAGTCAGTTCAACAAGAGGAGCTAACTGTTCTAAATATATATGCACCCAATAGAGGAGCACCCAGATTCGTAAAGCAAGGTCTTAGAGACCTACAAAGAGACTTAGACTTCCACGCAAAAATAGTGTGAGACTTTGACACCCTACTGACAAAATTAGACAAATCATCAAGAGAGAAAATTTAAAAAGATATTGAGGACCTGAACTCAGTTCTGGATCAAGCAAACCTGATAGACATAAACAGAACCTTCCTCCCCCAAACAACAGAGTATATACTATCATTGCTATACAGCACCTACTATAAAATTGATCACAAAATTGGAAGTAAAAGATTCCTCAGCAATGCAAAAGAACTGAAACCATAACAAACAGTCTCTCAGATCACAGCACAATCAAACTAGAACTCAAGATTAAGAAATTCACTTAAAACCTCACAACTGCATGGAAATTGAACAACCTGCTCCTGAATGACTCCTGGGTAAATAATAAAATTGAGGCAGAAATCAAGAAGTTATCTGAAACTAAGGAGAACAAAGAGACAATGTACCAAAATCTCCGGGATGCAGCTAAAGCAGTGTTGTTAAGAGGGAAATTCATAGCACTAAATACCCACATTAAAAAAACTAGAAAGATCTCAAGTTAACAACCAAACATCTCAACTAAAAGAACTATAGAACTGAGAGCAAACACACCCAAAGGCTACCAGAAGACAAGAAATAACCAGGATCAGAGATTAACTAAAGGATATAGAGACATAATAAACCATTCAAAAATTCAACAAATCTAGGAGATTAAAAAAAATATAGATAAACTGCTAGCTAGAATAATAAAGAAGAAAAGAGAGAAGAATCAAATAAACACAATCAAAATGATAAGGGGGATATCACAACTGACCCCACAGAAATAAAAACAACAAACAGAGAATACTATAAACACCTCTATGAACATAAACTAGAAAATCTAGAAGAAACAGATACATTTCTGAACACATACACTCTTTCAAGTATGAAACAGGAGGAAATTGTATCCCCAAATGTACTAAAAATGAGTTCTGAAATTGAGGCAGTAATAAATAGCATACCAACCAAAAAAAGGTCCAGAACCAGAGAGGATACACAGCTGAATTCTAACAGAGGTACCAAGAAGAGCTGGTACCATTTCTATCTAAACTATTAAAAAAAAAAAATGGAAAGGAGGGAATCCTTCCTAACTCATTCTGTGAGGCCAGCATAATCCTGGTACCAAAATTTGGCAGATATACAATACAACAACAACAAAAACAGAGAAGTTCAGGCCAATATCCTTGATGAACATCAATGAAAAAATTCTCAATAAAATACTGGTAGACCGAATCCAGCAGCATATCAAAAAGCTTATCCACCACAACCAAGTTGGCTTCATCCCAAGATGCAAGGTTGAGTCAACATACGCAAATCAATAAATGTGACTCATCACATGGACAGAACTAAAGACAAAAACCACATGACTCTCTCAATAGATGCAGAAAAGGCCTTCAATAAAATTCAACATCGCTTTATGATAAAAACTCTCAATAAACCAGGTATTGAAGGATCATACCTCAAAATAATACAAGTCCCATATGACAAACCCACAGCCAAAATCATACTGAATGTGCAAAAGCTAGAAGCATTCCCCTTGAAAACTGGCAAAAGACAAAGATGCTCTCACCACT